AGTACACAGGACCCGGCCTGGGGGGTGCAGAGAGAGAGGGGGCACATGGAGGGTGAGTACACAGGACCCGGCCTGGGGGGTGCAGAGAGAGAGGGGGCACATGGAGGGTGAGTACACAGGACCCGGCCTGGGGGGTGCAGAGAGAGAGGGGGCACATGGAGGGTGAGTACACAGGACCCGGCCTGGGGGGTGCAGAGAGAGAGGGGGCACATGGAGGGTGAGTACACAGGACCCGGCCTGGGGGGTGCAGAGAGAGAGGGGGCACATGGAGGGTGAGTACACAGGACCCGGCCTGGGGGGTGCAGAGAGAGAGGGGGCACATGGAGGGTGAGTACACAGGACCCGGCCTGGGGGGTGCAGAGAGAGAGGGGGCACATGGAGGGTGAGTACACAGGACCCGGCCTGGGGGGTGCAGAGAGAGAGGGGGCACATGGAGGGTGAGTACACAGGACCCGGCCTGGGGGGTGCAGAGAGAGAGGGGGCACATGGAGGGTGAGTACACAGGACCCGGCCTGGGGGGTGCAGAGAGAGAGGGGGCACATGGAGGGTGAGTACACAGGACCCGGCCTGGGGGGTGCAGAGAGAGAGGGGGCACATGGAGGGTGAGTACACAGGACCCGGCCTGGGGGGTGCAGAGAGAGAGGGGGCACATGGAGGGTGAGTACACAGGACCCGGCCTGGGGGGTGCAGAGAGAGAGGGGGCACATGGAGGGTGAGTACACAGGACCCGGCCTGGGGGGTGCAGAGAGAGAGGGGGCACATGGAGGGTGAGTACACAGGACCCGGCCTGGGGGGTGCAGAGAGAGAGGGGGCACATGGAGGGTGAGTACACAGGACCCGGCCTGGGGGGTGCAGAGAGAGAGGGGGCACATGGAGGGTGAGTACACAGGACCCGGCCTGGGGGGTGCAGAGAGAGAGCACATGGAGGCTGAGTACACAGGATCCAACCTGGGGGGTGCAGAGAGAGAGAGGGCACATGGAGGCTGAGTACACAGGACCCAACCTGGGGGGTACAGAGGAGAGGGAGCACATGGAGGCTGAGTACACAGGACCCACTGGGGGGTGCAGAGAGAGGGAGCACATGGAGGCTGAGTACACAGGACCCAACCTGGGGGGTACAGAGAGAGGGCACATGGAGGCTGAGTACACAGGACCCGACCTGGGGATGCCCCCCGAGGTGTCTGGCTGGGAATGAACCCGAATCCCCGGTGCGCAGCCTCCGGACCCCCTGTGTGAGCTCGGGTCGTATTGATGAATATCAGCATTCCAGAGATGAGAGATTTCCCATCCGCAGACAATGACACTCCCCCTACATGAGAGTACCGACCTTATTATATTCACCTCAATGGAAGGAGCACACTGCCCCCCGCTGGCCACTGCTGGGATATTCCCGGCACACTGCTGAGGAGACGGAGAACCCGCACAGTTCCGGGCTCTGTGATTGGGTGTAACGAAGAGAAATTATCATCATATTTCCTCCTCCGGTGACCCCTGACCTGTCACATTCCGATGACCTCTGACCTGTAGCGTTATCAGCCGTCTGTTATACCTGTTGGTTTATGGGTGATGAGGGCATGTGGGGGTATGAGGGGATTGGTTAGGTGATAAGAGCTGGATGGGGGGGGTAGGTTCAGGTTTAGAGATTGGGGGGGGTAGGCCAGGTTTAGAGATGGG